ATAGAATGGCGACCAAACAACGGCAGAGTATTCCAGTATAGGTCGAACCAGGGAACAGTATAAAGCCTTCAGGCAATACACGTCCATGAAGCTTTTGGCGAAACGGAATCAAAATCCTAGCTGCGATGAAGCTTTAGATACAACATAAGCAATGTGATCCTTGAACGTTAATTTGCAATCGAGCATGACTCCCAAGTCCTTGACAGTCGATTCGCGTTTCAAGCTTATTCCTCTTAAGGTGTAATCGTGGAAATGCATCGCCCGTTTACGGCCAAAGGAGATGACCGAGCACTTGGACACATTTAAAGACATCCTGTTTATCCGGCACCAATCATCAAAGACTTCAAGTTCTTGGTGGAGGAAATGAGCGTCTTGAGGCCCTTTTATTACGTAGTAGAGCTTCATGTCGTCGGCGTACGAGAGTTTAAGGCATTTGAGGATCATTTTCATTTTCTTTTCTTTGTTTCGAAAATGTAGAACCCTGGTCTGGTTCATTTTGCAAAACTCTTCAGGTTGATCAAGATGAAGATCTGAAGATCTTTAACTGTTAAAAAAATGTCATCGCTCAGATATTCTCCCAATATGGTATCCGGCTGATCGAAGATTGCAGTAAAGTCCTCTGGATATTTGTTTGAGACTTCAGGTGGATGAAGTTCATCTTGAAGATCTTTAGCAGATCATAAATTCAAATAATGTTCTCAGATATTCTCCCTAGACGGCAGGTTGATCTGGAAGTATTTAAAAGATTTTCACTTGACGAATATTTCAATAAAGTCTTCTAGATATTTTGCCATATTTTGTCAGATGTTGCGAATGCTCGTAAAGGGAACCTCAGAATTCTTGATTCGTGCACCTATGTTGGATTTTTATACTTGCGATTTTCCTTCACCGTGAACATTTTCGTGGAAAACATTTTTCAGATTAATTTTTTTATGAATAATGAGATAATTTGATACTCCACAAAGTTCTTCCTACGATACTTGGTTCATGAGTTATTAATGTTCAAAGTACATACGTGACGTCCGGGAAAATCCGAAAATTTCAACTAAAATTTTCCGGGCGAATTACCACCCCGATTTTTTTTTTAATTTCATAAAATTCTGAGACTCTATCTTATGAGACAAAGTTCAGCCTTAATTGGCTCCAGTAAAATTCCAGAGGAAATCTGCAAAGAAATATTTCTAAATTAAGCAATATTTTGTTTTTTTTTCATTGATTTGTTTTCCGTCGATCTTGTTTTCCGTACTGAGTACCAATGCTGCTACGAAAGCAGCTCACAGACCCGTACTATACCTATCGACCTATCACCTAATGGACCGGGGACCAACGGCATTACTTCCCTTATACCTCAAAAATCCCGACGACGCTGACTGGGATTGAACCAAGGCCCTATGAAGTGAGAGGCAGTCATGATTCCCTAAATAAGCAAGATTTTGTAATAGTACAGGGTGGCAAGTGAATTTCCATTTTGAAATTCCTGGTTTTTCCTGGTTTTCCTGGTCAATGATTTAAATATTTCCTGGTTTTAAAAACCATGGATTTAAAAAACAATTTTTAATAAAAAAATAAAGTGAATCATTCTTCGCGCAATGCGGAACTTCACAAACCAAAATAGGTATTAATGTTCTAGTGAATTCCCGTGAAGTCTTTATCTAATTGTTTGCTGTAAAGAAGCTAGTAGGGAGCCGCGCTACTTCGTCGTATCATGGCGCATATTTCCGTTCTATGTGCTAAAACTATAATAGCAAAGCGTTTTCACTAATGTTTTTGCAAAAGTATCTTTGCTTACAAGATTAATTACGATTGACACTGAAACATTTGCGATAACCCGTAAAATGAGCGATTTTAGGGGTGTATGACGAAGAAAAGCCCTATCTAATGTCTGAAATTTAGAGATCTATAAGCCCCTAAGTCTTGAGATTTCTGTTTTTGAAACTGCGATTTTTTTAACTTTATTATTGAGATTTTTAGCCAACGGGCTAGTTTATCTCAAGGCGAAATTGCGAAGTGTGATGAATGAGGACTCTTTAAAGAAACCTTTGCTTCTTACAATTTTACGAATTTCCAGTTTGTTTAAATTTTCCGCAAATTGTCAACGATTAAGGATCTTATTTAGCGGAATTTTGATTACAACATGATTTCAAAATCATATGATTAAAAGATTTCATTAGAAACGCTGATAGTATTGCCTGAATTTCATAGGACTTCCCCGAAGTTCGAAGAGCTTTATTTAAGATCTTAAGACTTTCCTGAAGTTCGGAGTTTTTTGAAATTCATAGGAATTGCTTAAATATCGTAGAAGTACCACGAAGTTCGTAGAAATTCTCAGAAGCTCGTAAGACTTCCTTCAAGTTCGAAGAACTTTCTCGAAGATCTGAGGACTTCCCTGAAGTTTGAAGGACTTAACTGAATATATGAGGACCCTAAATTTAGAAGAGCTTCCCTGAAGTTCATAAGGCTTTAAATATCGAAGGGTTTTCCAAAAGTTTGTGGGTCTTTCCTTAATTTCTTGGAAATTCCCTGAAGTTTGAAGAGCTCCCATGAATTTCGTACGACTACCTGTAGTTCAATCGACTTCTCGGAAGTTCTAGGAACGTTTTTGAGCTCGGAGAACTATGTTAAGTTCACAGGACTTCCCAAGAGTATTGACGACTTCTCTGAAGCTCGGGAAAAAAATCCATAAGTGTCATAGGATTATCCTTAAGTTTTAAGCAATGCCTAAATGTCGTAGAAGTTACATTAAATCTGTAGAAAATTCGTAGTTATTCCCCAACGATTAAAGGCCTTCCCTGAAGTTCGTAAGACTTCTCTGAAATTTGTAGAACTTCTCTGAAGGTTGGACCGTCGTAGGTTATCACAGAAGTTCATAGGGTTTTCCTGAAACTTGTAAGACTTTCCCGAATTTTGTAGAACTTGCATAAAGTTCGAAGGCCTTATCTGAAGTTTTTAGAAATAGAACTTTTTTATTGAACATGTTGAACAGGTACTTCAAAGTAGTTACACGTTGGCACCGCTTAAGTCTGCTATCAATTAAGCACAAATCATACAAGCAATTGATTCGAGAAAAAAATTATATTAAAAATAAACACAAAATTTGTTTACTAAATTCTCAGGGTTAATTTTGTTCATCAATGTTTAGGTGTGTGAAAGATTTAGCTTGAACAAAATCGTGAACCTGATTATAAAAAGAAACTTTGACATACATACAATTTAAAACCTATTTAAATTATACAAACAAGATTATTTTCCTGGTGGACTTATGAAATTCCTGGTTTTTTCCCGGTTTTCCTGGTTTTCCTGTTTCACTTGCCACTTTGTAATAGTTATCAGAAATCAAATTTCTGGTGTTAGAAGCATCCATTTCTGGAATACGTTGATACAAAGATTCTCCAAATTCTCCAAACAAGAACAATTAAAATTCACTTCGAGTTGGATCAATCACTAGCGCCCGCAAAAGCAACAACAACGAACGAACGCCCAAACTGCAAACCACGATGCATCCCGCATCTAAACCAACGCGTGACAAGCCGAGCGCGAGATAGATGAGCTTTGGACCAATATTCCCCAGCGTCAACAATATCCTACCAGTCAGATGCTGATGGTTTCCCCCTACGAAGGCACGCACCGTTCAGAACGGGCAAATTTCGGAGCCAACAACGCCGGGATATGATTAGATCCGCCGCTTGTTTTCGCCGTTGTTCAGCGCGGTTTCATCCGACCGACCGTTGATGCCTATTATAGACAGGGATGAAATGAAAATAGCATATTTCTTTTGATATGGCCCTACCATGGAGGGGGGTCCCACGCTAGTTCGCCAGTGGTTTTAATTATTATCCCTCAATGCAAACCGGCTCGGCGGTGCAATGGTGAAGTCTTATGGAACTGTTGTCGATGGAATTTCGAGAATTGACGTTCCGATAGGTGTCAGCATAGAATTTCGATTAGACAGGTGAGCTGTGAATGGTTAGTGGACGATGAAACTAACTGGAATTGCAACGAAACTAACTCTTAAAATAACAAAATTTCCTAGTAATGCAGCAGTTTGTGTGATATTTACCGTGATTCCAACGAATGTCAACAATCAAAAATCAAACAACCGAGCAATATTTAAACTACTAAAAAACTGTCACATCCATACAGGTAGACAAAAAGTCAGAACTCAATCCTATTTAGTCCTGGGCAAACTGGACTGGAAACAACGCAGTAAAAAATATCCATCATCCCCCATTGGCAACAATATTGGAAAATTAAAACTTCACTTTGCATACACGGGTCGATCCACGGACGGTCAACGGATCTGTTGACAAAAAAAAAAACGATCAGATTAATCCACTTATAAGAAGCATGTGTTCGAAACTTTTGAACATCATTGCACTAGTAACACAGAGAACGGTTGCAGAAACGTCTATGTGACTTTTTTCAGTCTCAATCAAGTTCATGCAAGTTTGTATGCTATTTGGTGAGAAGAGTTTCATTAGCATTCTAGGGCTCATGTTTTCAAATCAAATGAAACGGTTGCATAGCAATCAACTTAGTCTTCGCCGAGTCAATTCGGGTCCTGGTTTCGAAAATGGATTACCCATTTCCCGATCCGGATATCGTAGCCTTTCGGTGCACGGCAAACGGCACAAAACGTGGCCAAGCTAAATACGCGCTATGAAATTGCTCGTTCCGGCTGCAAAAACATCCTTTTATCGGAGAAAATGCGCCTGCCATATTGGCAAACGCATGGCAATGTAATTTGCAACTACTACCTACGTTGCAGGTGTACTCGACAGTTGCAAAAAAAAAGTGATAAAAATGCGAACACGACTTTTTCCAGCATCGATATTTGGGAGGCACGGTTGTAGGAGACTGATAGGAAACGATGGAAACATTATACGTTTCTGGCAGATGTGGTGGCCTTTAGGGCATGAGCTATCATTTTCAATTTCGATGTCAAGTGTTGTGCTGAAATTTGCCCCTCAATTTCACATTAACAAAAAAAAAACTCCACCTACCTTGCCCTGATTGATGAACCCGTGCTCGTCGGCCACCTGCTCGGCCGTTTCCTGGCCGCCCTCCGGAATGTGCACCGCCCATTGATGTGTGTAGTGTCCGCTGCCCTCGTAGTGATCCTCGTACGCACTCCCACTGATCCCCGCGCGTTCGAACGGATCCAGTTCCAACGAGTTTGCACTAGCTAGCTGCTGCCCTGCGATATCACTTTGATTACTGCTATTACTATTAACACTACTACTGCTACCAACTGCATCACAGTGAACCGTGGAAATTGCACCTACTAACACTACTCCTACTATGTACAACACTACCGCCAGCGGATATCGATGCCACCGGGCTGACGACGACGACGACGAAGGCCTGCTACTGCTCCTGCCCTCCTGCTCCGAATCACTGCTCTCACTGTAGCTCCTACCACCGGGCGGCGATAACAACGCCACCGACACTGTTGCCGTAGCGCCCGGCATCGCCGGCAATGGGCAGGACTGGAATGCTACTACTGTCGGTGTCATCGGTGCTTCTTCCCCTTCGCCGACCTTCCGTGACATGCGATGACTACTACATTTGGCACTTTTTCGACGGCGACCGCCACTTGCGCAGCAGGGTTCATCTGTCCATCTAACGTCACTGGACATGACTTCACTATCGGTAGCAATCTTCTCGTCGTCAAACTTCATTGATTGGCGTCTCTTCTGCTGCTGCTGCCGCTGGCTGATGAACTCATTAGGCTCTTCACTAGCGCTCAGCACTTTAAACACACAATACCTTCGGTTTAAAATCACCACCGTCGTTGACGCAACAAATTAAAAACGAATTAAATGCCACCCCCTTGGCTGAACCGCGGCGGCGTACTATTCTCTCTTTCTATTCTTAATCTCACCCGGCGCTGACGGCGACGGCAGCCGACGTTGATTGAATTAAAATATGATTATTAATTTCTTCTGAGTAGGACTTCTTTGGCTTTTCATCGGGCTAAGCGTCGAGTATTTCTTGCGGGGGGTTTTGCTGGTTTTTGTTAGGAAGTTGCGATTTGCAAGTGACTTCCGTTTTGATTAGTGCTTGCTTGTGGCACGTGTACCGGTGACAGTTGCTGGATGTGCGTTATGAGTTCCACTGAAAAAAAGGAAAAGCAAAATTATAATAACAACTTGAGTGGCATTGAGAAAAATTCTTAAGAAATAGTTTGTAAGCAGTTTAAAGAGCTTTAAAATTAATCAAAGTCTGTAGTTTAGAAATTTATAGACACCACAGTTTTAAAAACTAGTTATGGTTCGAGATCTCGATTTCGTTTTCCAAAATCCCAATATTGAGAATTTCTGAGTTGGAGATTTGGTGTTGTTTCCAAAAAATGTTGAATATTCTTTAAAATTAGGTAAGCCTATTTTCGTCACAATATAAGCAGCGTTGTATGGACAAAGGGTCGAAATGGACAAAATGACGAAATGGACAAACTGTCGAAATGGACAAGAGGTCGAATGAACAAACGATCGAAATTGACAAAAGGTCGAATGAAATGTTAATTAGCTTTTATCTGGCAAAGAACTGCTCATCTTATAAAGAAGGTGTCAATTACAAAAGTGAGGAATAACGTTAGATTACTTAAAGTCTATGAGCGATGTAGGTACTTGCTTTTATTCTCCACATTGCCTTTCCGACATTTTCTTTGATTTTTCGATCCACTTAAAGTGATTTGACCTTTTGCCGTTTCAGACAAATTCAGCATTCTGCATTTTTTCCAGTCGACAATTTGTCGCTATAAATTTCATTAATTCAAGGGAACTTGGCGAAAGTTCCAAAAGAACTTGTCGAAAGTTCCAGGGGAACTTGTCGAAACATCCAGGGCAACTTGTCAAAAAATCCAGGGGAGCTTGGTGAACGATTCAGAGGAACTTGGTGAAATCCAAGGGAAATTTGTTAAGGGGAACTTATGGAAAGCTCCAGAGGCACTTGTCAAAAGATCCAGGGGGACTAGGCGAAACTTCTAGCGCAACTTTCCAGGGGAACTTGTCCAAATTTCCAGGGGAACTTATCAAAAGTTCCAGGGAAACTTATCAAAAGTTCCAGGGGAACCTGGCGAACGTTTCAGGGGAACTTGGTGAACATTTTGGGGGAACTTGGCGAAAGTTCCAGGGTAACTTTACGAAAGTTCCAGAAGAACTTATCAAAAATTCCAGGACTACTTGTTCAAAGTTCTAGGGAACTTATCGAATGTTACAGGGGAACTTGTCAAAAATGATTTAATAGGTTTTTCGACTGGTATGTAGGGAGAATTATTTTTTATGAGTTTCTCAGTCTAGGGTAATCCAAACGGTCAGTTATGCTTCCGGCCCTTTATTGTGGCCTTTTTCAAGTAAACAAGGTGCATAACTGACCGTTTGGATTACCCTAGACTAAGAAAGCCATAAAAACGAAATCTTGTCAAAAGTTTTAGGGAAACTTGTCGAAAGTTCCAGAGGAACTTGTCAGGTTCGTTAAGTTACAAGGGAACCTGTAGGAAGTTCCATGAGCACTGGTAGATAGTTTCAAGGGAACTTATGAGAAGTTCCAAGCGAGGAAGTTCCGAGGGAACTTCTGGCAAGTTCCGAGGGAACTTCTGGCAAGTTCCGAGGGAACTTCTGGCAAGTTCCGAGGGAACTTCTGGCAAGTTCCGAGGGAACTTCTGGCAAGTTCCGAGGGAACTTCTGGCAAGTTCCGAGGGAACTTCTGGCAAGTTCCGAGGGAACTTCTGGCAAGTTCCGAGGGAACTTCTGGCAAGTTCCGAGGGAACTTCTGGCAAGTTCCGAGGGAACTTCTGGCAAGTTCCGAGGGAACTTCTGGCAAGTTCCGAGGGAACTTCTGGCAAGTTCCGAGGGAACTTCTGGCAAGTTCCGAGGGAACTTCTGGCAAGTTCCCAGGGAACTTCTGGCAAGTTCCCAGGGAACTTCTGGCAAGTTCCCAGGGAACTTCTGGCAAGTTCCCAGGGAACTTCTGGCAAGTTCCCAGGGAACTTCTGGCAAGTTCCCAGGGAACTTCTGGCAAGTTCCCAGGGAACTTCTGGCAAGTTCCCAGGGAACTTCTGGCAAGTTCCCAGGGAACTTCTGGCAAGTTCCCAGGGAACTTCTGGCAAGTTCCCAGGGAACTTCTGGCAAGTTCCCAGGGAACTTCTGGCAAGTTCCCAGGGAACTTCTGGCAAGTTCCCAGGGAACTTCTGGCAAGTTCCCAGGGAACTTCTGGCAAGTTCCCAGGGAACTTCTGGCAAGTTCCCAGGGAACTTCTGGCAAGTTCCCAGGGAACTTCTGGCAAGTTCCCAGGGAACTTCTGGCAAGTTCCCAGGGAACTTCTGGCAAGTTCCGAGGGAACTTCTGGCAAGTTCCGAGGGAACTTCTGGTAAGTTCCGAGGGAACTTCTGGTAAGTTCCGAGGGAACTTCTGGTAAGTTCCGAGGGAACTTCTGATAAGTTCCGAGGGAACTTCTGATAAGTTCCGAGGGAACTTCTGGTGAGTTCCGAGGTAACTTCTGGTAAGTTCCGAGGGAACTTCTGGTAAGTTCCGAGGGAACTTCTGGTAAGTTCCGAGGGAACTTCTGGTAAGTTCCGAGGGAACTTCTGGTAAGTTCCGAGGGAACTTCTTTTAAGTTCCGAGGGAACTTCTGGTAAGTTCCGAGGGAACTTCTGGTAAGTTCCGAGGGAACTTCTGGTAAGTTCCGAGGGAACTTCTGGTAAGTTCCGAGGGAACTTCTGGTAAGTTCCGAGGGAACTTCTAGTAAGTTCCGAGGGAACTTCTAGTAAGTTCCGAGGGAACTTCTAGTAAGTTCCGAGGGAACTTCTAGTAAGTTCCGAGGGAACTTCTGGTAAGCTCCGAGGGAACTTCTGGCAAATTCCGAGGGAACTTTTGGCAAATTCCGAGGGAACTTCAGGCATGTTCCGAGGGAACTTCTGGCAAATTCCGAGGGAACTTTAGATAAATACTGAGGGATCGGCAGAGAAGATCCGAGGGCGCTTCAGGTATTTTCCGACAGTTTCATGGAAGTTGTGAGAGAACTTTACAGAGCTTCCGAATGAACTTCAGACCAGTTATTGCATCCATGCATTATGAAATTTGGATTCTCCATCCACCTGGCTTTGTCCATGATCTTTAAATGAAAGCATTCATCAGTCCCCTTGTATCCCAAGCACGTCGCTGAAGCAGTGTGCACAGCTCCGGTGCTGGAATTCCATTTCCCGAGAAAATATTTAATTAAGCAAAATATTTGCTTTCCTTTTTTCTTCATTTATCCTATCAATGAATTGGTCCTGCTTTGTCGGTTCCAGAAACACCCGGCAGCTGGATCAATAAAGCAAAAGAACAATAACTGCAGTTAATCGAAAAAGAAATGGAAACAAGAATTTCTCCACGTTGGGGCGTCCCACCTCAGTGTTTGTGTCGAGAAAAATCCATGAAGCCGAACGGGGCGGGTTTCCTCGTGGGAGTGATTACCGGCAGGATTTGGTAATTTTATCTGATTATTGTAGCTTTGCTGCTAATTGTACTACTGCAAAGAGCGGATAATCAGAACTATTGGGAACGATCATTGTGGCACTGATTAGGATTTGTATATGTGCCAGTGTGTTTACGTTTGCCAGGTTGGGAGACTTTAGTATCCTGGCAAAGCTGCAAAATGGTAGAGGGCGGTCCACAAATTCAATTACATCACAGAATGAAAGCAACAATGTAAATTAATTACAGTAAATGCAAGTTGCGCTCAATTGCACCAATTGAAAAAAAAAACCAAGGGAACATTTCGTTGTGCATCGTTTCAGGGAATCCTTGGTAAAAGTATCCTTCAATTGCTTTTTGCCACCCAACCGACAGGAGAAAAAGCTTCCTTGATTATATTTCAGTTTTGAAATAAGGTACCAGCACTTGAAGTCGTCATTAAACTAAAAAATTAGTGTTACTGCTTAGTATTGCAACCTAAGCCCCAAGATTTGTCCAGTTAGTCCAGTCAGAACTTTTCCGGGGTCGAAAACTAACGAAGCGTCAAACTTTAAGCCCATCACCCTACGCAGGCAACTCGGAATGCAATTCCATTCACGTTGCTGTTTGTATTTCTGCCATTTCAGTCGCTGAGTGTTCCAGTTTTTCCCCCCTGAATGATGCACGCAGAATCCAATTACGAAAATTGAAACCCCATAAATGTGACCAGCTCCATTTGACTGATGAGCGCCATCGAACCACCGTCCGCCCGATCATCGTTGCCAAGGTGAAGGAATGCATCCGCTATCGGAGAAAAAGTGCTAGGAACGTGCAATCATCCTGGTTCCCGTTTTGCCACCATCATCCATCTCAGGGCGGGAGCGCGAGGGAAGGCGAAAGAGAGAGAGAGACCTGCAATGAAATCGGAGAAAAGAAAACTACAATCAATCTTTCAATCAAGACAAGATAAAAAAAAATATGAAACAATATTAGTACAACTTAGTAAATGGTTTATGCTTGTTTCGCATTGGACGTGAGGACCTTTTTCGAGGGGGCAGAAAGAAGGACGACCGGTTAATTGGATTAAGTGCTAAAGCACTTTTCATCCCAGTCATATTGGATCTCATCGCTGCTGACAGCCGCTGTTGTTTGTGGGATCAAATCAGGAAGAACCAAAATTCATTCACTCTATGGCGAGGATTGACTTTGCTTAATGCATTGGGTCACCCGGGGGGTGGTGACCAAGTTATTAGTTGCTTTTATTTTGAGATGAATGGGGCAAAAAATACTCGAAATAGCCATCAGCAGTGGAAGATAAGTCATCGAAGCAAGGTTTGACGGATTTTATTCGTGAATAACCGGAAGTACTAAATGTTACTATCGACGCTCAATTTGGGCATCAGCGATTCCCTCGCGCAAATTTTGCAATACTGCTACAGCTTCAATTATGGAATTTCCTTTAAAATCACGAAACTTCTCTGATGGTCCCTAAGTTTTCAAGAAGTTCTCGAATTTTATCTAAGGATTCTTGATTTTTCAACTAGTTCTCGGATCTTTTCTAACGTTCCGATGAGTCTCATCGTCGCCCACTGGTTACCACACTCGGTCGAACTCCAGACGAAGTTGAATCTTGAACTGCACTACCGTTCATATACTGGCGACAATGCTCTGATGAGACAA